CGAGATAATCTGATTTCTCTGTCATTGTTATCATGGATTCATATACAGAACTGATGTACTCTCTCAATGACTTACAGATTGCTGTCATCTTGCCATTCTCCTTTTTAAACTCATCGAGCTGACCCTGGGAGAACTGTAAACTGTTCTTCAGGTCCTGGACCTCTCCGGTCAGGTCGTCCCTTCTTTTATTAGTTGACTCCAACAGTATTTGGACAAAACACTTGAAGCTATTTTCTTGTTGTTGTATCAACTGCTTGTAGAACTATTTTTGTTTGTTTAAAAGATCCTTCACCTGTGACAGAGAGACACCACTGTCCTCAACGGCACTCCCGCCGGCTTTGGTCTTTGTAATGGTAACAACAGTAGGTTACGCTGTTACTCCTCGCAGTTCCAGATAGGGCATGTCACAAGGAAGATTGAAGACAACAACAAACAGCAGGGGTCTAGAAAGCCACAAGCCCGGACAAACCATCCACAGAGACGAACTAATATCTTTCAGACAGTTAAGATCTAAACCAAGCAAGAACTTGTGCATGCAGATCAATTAGGGTTTCCAATCTCTCCAAAATGATTAAAAGGTCATTTATCTCCTTCACGAGTGCAGTCTCAGTACTATGATGGGGTCTAAAACCAGACTGGAGCATTTTGTATAAATTTTTTGTCTTCAGGAAGGCAATGAGTTGTAGTGCAACAGGTTTTTCAAAAAAAATTGAGCGGAATGAGAGATTCGATATAGGCCGATAGTTTTTTTAATTTTCGGGGTCAAGGTTTGTATTTTTCAGGAGAGACTTTATTACTGCCACTTTTAGTGAGTTTGGTACACATCCGGAGGATAGGGAGACATTTATTATGTTCAACATAGGAGGGGCAAGCACAGGAAGTACCTCTTTCAGTAGTTTAGTTGGAATAGGGTCCAATAGGCAGCTGGAAGGTTTAGAGGCCATAACTATTTTCATGAATGACTGGAACATGTTCCGGGATTCTTCAGATAGCATTGAGGAGTACACCACATCAGTCACTGGCTTCATCAATAAGTGCATCGATGACGTCGTTCCCACAGTGACCGTACGTACATACACCAACCAGAAGTCATAGATTACAGGCAACATCCGCACTGAGCTAAAGGGTAGAGCTGCCACTTTCAAGGAGCGGGACTCTAACCCGGACGCTTATAAGAAATCCCGCTATGCCCTCAGACGAACCGTCAAACAGGCAAAGAGTCAGTACAGGACTAAGATTGAATCGTACTACACCGGCTCTGACGCTCGTCGGATGTGGCAGGGCTTAAAAACTATTACAGACTACAAAGGGAAGCACAGCCGCGAGCTGCCCAATGACACAATACTTCCAGATGAGCTAAACCACTTCTATGCTCGCTTCGAGGTAAGCAACATTGAAGTATGCATGAAAGTACCAGCTGTTCCGGATTACTATGTGATCACGCTCTCCGTAGCCAATGTGAGTAAGACTTGTAAGCAGGTCAACATTCACAAGGCCGCAGGGCCAGATGGATTTCCAGGACGTGTACTCCGAGCATGTGCTGACCAACTGGCAAGTGTCTTCACTGACATTTTCAACATGTCCCTGACTGAGTCTGTAATACCAACATGTTTCAAGCAGACCACCATAGTCCCCATGCCCAAGGACACTAAGATAACCTGCCTAAATGACTACCGACCCGTAGCACTGACATCTGTAGCCATGAAGTGCTTTGAAAGGCTGGTCATGGCTCACATCAACACCATTATCCCAGAAACCCTAGACCCACTCCAATTTGCATACCGCCCCAACAGATCCACAGATGATGCAATCTCTATTGCACTCCACACTGCCCTTTCCCACCTGGACAAGAGGAATACCTACGTGAGAATGCTATTCATTGACTACAGCTCAGCGTTCAACACCATAGTGCCCTCAAAGCTCATCACTAAGCTAAGGTTCCTGGGACTAAACACCTCCCTCTGCAACTGGATCCTGGACTTCCTGACGGGCCGCCCCCAGGTGGTAAGGGTAGGTAACAACACATCTGCCACACTGATCCTCAACACGGGGGCCCCTCAGGGGTGCGTGCTCAGTCCCCTCCTGTACTCCCTGTTCATCCATGACTGCATGGCCAGGCACGATTCCAACACCATCATTAAGTTTGCCTTCGACACAACAGTGGTAGGCCTGATCACCGACAACGATGAGACAGCCTATAGGGAGGAGGTCAGAGACCTGGCCGTGTGGTGCCAGGATAACAACCTCTCCCTCAACGTGACCAAGACAAAGGAGATGATTGTGGACTACAGGAAAAAAAAGAGGACTGAGCACGCCCCCATTCTCATCGACGGGGCTGTAGTGGAACAGGTTGAGCGCTTCAAGTTCCTTGGTGTCCACATCACCAACGAACTATCATGGTCCAAACACACCAAGACAGTCGTGAAGAGGGCACGACAAAGCCTATTCCCCCTCAGGAGACTGAAAAGATTTGGTCCTCAAAAAAATTCTACAGCTGCACCATCGAGAGCATCCTGACTGGTTGCATCACCGCCTGGTATGGCAACTGCTCGGCCTCCGACCGCAAGGCACTGCAGAGGGTAGTGCGTACGGCCCAGTACATCACTGGGGCCAAGCTTCTTGCTATCCAGGAACTCTATACCAGGCGGTGTTAGAGGAAGGCCCTCAAAATTGTCAAAGACTCCAGCCACCCTAGTCATAGACTGTTCTCTCTGCTACCGCATGGCAAGCGGTACCGGAGTGCCAAGTCTAGGTCCAAAATACTTCTCAACAGCTTCTACCCCCAAGCCATAAGACTCCTGAACAGCTAATCATGGCTACCCAAACTATTTGCACTACTAAGGGCTGTAAGTAAGCATTTCACTGTAATGTCTACACCTGTTGTATTCGGCGCATGTGGCCAATACATTTTTATTTGATTTGATTTGAATGTGTCGGGAGATACAGGATTAAAAAACTTGAGTGTCTCCATTGATCCTAGGTCCTGGCAGTTCTGTGCATGCTCAGGACAACTACATTTTGGAGAAATTAGCAGATTCAAAGAGGAGTCCGTAATTTGCTTTCTTAATGATCATGATCTTTTCATCAAAGAAGTTATTGAATTCATCACTGCTGAAATGAAGGCCATTCTCACTTGGGGAATGCTGCTTTTCAGTTACAATATATAGTGCATTCAGAAAGTCTTCAGGCCCCTTGATCTTTTCCACATTTTGTTACGTTACAGCCTTATTCTAAAATTGATTAAATTGATTTTTTTTCCTCATCAACTTACACAAAATGTTCCATAATGATAAAGTAAAAACTGGTTTTCAGACATTTTTGTAAATGTATTAAAATAAACAACTGAAATATCACATTTAGATAAGTATTCAGACCCTTTACTCAGTACTTTCTTGAAGCACCTTTGGCAGCGATTACAGCCTCAAGTCTTCTTGGGTATGATGCTACAAGCTTGGCACACCTATATTAGGGGAGTTTCTCCCATTCCTCTCTGCAGATCCTCACAAGCTCTGTCAGGTTGGATGTGGAGCATCGCTGCACAGCAATTTTCAGGTCTCTCCAGAGATGTTCGATCTGGTTGAAGTCCGGGCTCTGGCTGGGCCACTCAAGGACATTCAGAGACTTGTCCCGAAGCCACTCCTGTGTTGTCTTGGCTGTGTGCTTAGGGTTGTTGTCCTGTTGGAAGGTGAACCTTCCACCCAGTCTAAGGTCATGTGCTCTGGAGCAGGTTTTCATCAAGGATCTCTTTGTACTTTGCACCGTTCATTTTTCCCTCGATCCTGACTAGTCTCCCAGTCCCTGCCGCTAAAAACATCCCCACAGCATGATGCTGCCACCACCATGCTTCACCGTAGGGATGGTGCCAGGTTTCCTCCAGACTTGACACTTGGCATTCAGGCCAAAGAGTTCAATCTTGATTTCATCAGACCAGAGAATCTTGTTTTTCCACTCTACCATAAAGGCCTGATTGGTGGAGTGCTGCAGAGATGGTTGTCCTTCTGGAAGGTTCTCCTATCTCCACAGAGGAACTCTAGAGCTCTGTCAGAGTGACCAGCCGGTTCTTTGTCACCTCCCTGACCAAGGCCCTTCTCCCCCGATTGCTCAGTTTGGCCGGGCGGCCAGCTCTAGGAAGAGTCTTGGTGGTTCCAAACTTCTTCCATTTAAGAATGATGAAGGCCACTGTGTTCTTGGGGACCTTCAATGCTGCATATATTAATGTCATATTCCCATCAAGTGTCCCTCTACAGCTGATGGTGAGGAGTACAGGAATATTAAAAAACTGGTTCTCAATAAAATGTACAAAATGTGTGCACTCCCAATGTGCAGTTCTCCAACATTGTTGCACATTGGAAAGGTGCAACTCATGACTCAAGGATTTTCCAAAACTCCTCTTTGTATGCTCAGCTTGAAGGAGGACAACATTGTGGAATCATACTTTGTGACAGTGGGTTTGCACAGACCAACTTCTTGTTCACCCCCTATCTTCATGCAGTAGGACCTGAGCAACAACGGTACAACCAAGCTCATATCCGCACCAGAGGTGTAGTGGAGCGCATGTTTGGTGTATGGAAGAGTCGTTTCCAGTGTCTCAGAAACACATTGCGCTTTCCATCAAAAAGATGCTGCATTGTCATAATTGCAACAGCAGTGCTTCACAATTACCTCAAACAGCATGGCTGACCAGGTCCTCGCATTGAAGATGAGGATGACCCAGATGTTCCCATGGTTGAGGCAGACAATGACAGAAATGAACAAGCCAGAAGATATGCTTTTGCTATGCAGTACTTCTCACAACAAAGATAGCTCACATTATTGAAGCAAACAATAGCCATGGATTGTTAACAAAAATATTTTTTATTCACAAATGGAAATATCGGGACCCCGAACTGGTGCTGGTTCGAGAAGAACATTGGTACTGCTGCTGCTTCATGTTTCTCTCCTCCTCCTTCATAGCCAACACAGGATTTGCATCTTCATACCATGCTCTTCTTTTAAATACATTAGTTTGCACTCATGAAATACCATGGCAGTTTCTCATGCATGCTCAGCCTCTTTGTCTTTGTCCTCCAGCCCTGGTTAGTGACACAATCTTCCCTTCTAGCTGCTGTAGATGTAGCTGGCTGACCTTCATACTGTGTTATCCCTTACAAGCCATGATGATCATCTGCCTCTAGAAAATGATTACATTGTTGCATTAGAGAACATCATTTCTTCAAGAGTTGAGTTCATTACATAGGTTTTATTATGGGAGTGCAAAAGATGACTGACAACATTCCATATTCCCTGCAGTCTGGCACATGTTGAATGAATGTGTCCTACCAAATGAGGATTGGAACAGTCCACCATCTGAACAGTCCAAAAGGTCATCATCAGGGATACCTTCCAGTGGTTGCTGGCTATCAATGATCCCAGTCAACAAGTCCCCCAGCTCATCTGTCGCTGATCTTACCAGTCTTGAAACACTCCCTATGAGTGTCTTCTTTAAGTAGATTTTTATGTTTTTTACACAGGAAAGACAAGACAATATAGACATTATATTAGTAAATATTGTTTTTGTTACATTTCTGTCACACAAATACATTTAGGCCCCATTGTGTTGTGTTACACAAGAAAACTAACATTTCAAAGTGACTCTGATTTGTAAAAGTGGGCCAACAATAAATGCAGTATCTTACCAGAAGTTGTTGTAGCATCCTTTTGTTTAGTTTTTCATTTGAGTTGAATTCATTACAAATGGTAGTCCAGACATTATTTTTCTTGTTTTCTGTTGATGAATCGTGTTGTTTGTTCTCCATAATTGGGTTGTTTGACACAATTAGCTTCAAGAGGGTTTATTCAAAGTCTCTGAAATTCTTTAAATGTTTTATTTTACCTCCGTCCATTATTTGGTTTAGGTGACTTTCTCCAATTCCACACAATGCTTACACTGTATGTATTATTGTCCCATCCTTGTTTTTTTAAGCATCCTCAGGTCAGCACCAAGTGCACATCGTTAATCTAAACAGGCTTCACAAAGATGAACTGGTTAGTCCTTACTTACCTTAGTCTGGGACTCACTTTCTATGGCTTGTTTTTAGAAATAGTGATATTTGGGAGATTATTTCCTTTTCAAATATCTGAAAGTGAGAGGTTGTAATCTGAATAAAGGGAAAAAGGCCATTGTTGAACATTGGGTGAGACAATCTTACTAATTTGCTAGAGAACCAGTTCGGATTTAAGTATAACTTTTGTATGACTGAAGCTTTTAGTGATAGGTCTAATGCTTTAATATTTAATAATTTCTGTCCTCCGAATTCATATTCATTATATAAATAGGCCCGTAAAAAAATGTCTGGCTTGCCGTGTCACGCCCTGACTCTGGGGACTCTTATTTGTTGAGTCAGGGTGTGTATTTTCTATGTGGTGATTGTCTATATTGTAATTTCTAGTATTTGTATTTCTATGTTGGCCGGTGTGGTTCCCAATCAGAGGCAGCTGTCGCTCGTTGTCTTGATTGGGGACCATACTTAGGCAGCCTATTGGCACTAGTGGGTTGTGGGATCTTGTTCCGTGTGAGGTATGTTGTTTGTGTACCTTGGACTTCACGTTTCGTTTCTTGTTTTGTCGTTTGTGTTTATAAGTCAAATAAACATGTATGCATATCACGCTGCGCCTTGGTCTGACCCGTTCATCAACGACCGTGACAGAAGATCCCACCAAACGAGGACCAAGCAGCGTGTCCAGGAGCAGACAGTCTGGACCTGGGAGGAGATCCTGGAAGGTAAGGGATGGATCGTCGTCCTTGGGAGGAGACAGTGGAGGCGCGGTATAGAGAGGAGCAGCGGCAACGCAGAAGGCGCCGGCCGAGGAAGAAGGCCGAGAGACAGCCCCAATTAAAAAAATTTGGGGGGCTAAAAGGGTGGTTGGCGGAGCCTAGTGTTAGAGCAGAGCCAACTCCCCGTACTCACACAAGGAGGCGTGTGACTGGGCAGGCTCCGTGTTATGCGGAGCTACGTACTGTGTCGCCAGTGTGCCGGCACAGTCCTGTACGTCCTGTGCTAGCACCACGCACGTGCCGTGCGAAGATGGGCATCCAGCCAGGACGGGGTGTGCCGGCTCAATGCTCCTGGTCTCCAGTACGCCTCCTCGGTCCCGCATATCCTGCGCCGGTTCTACGAGCTGTATCGCCAGTACACGTGCACAGCCCAGTGCGTCCTGTGCCAGCGCCCCGCACGTGTAGTGCGAAAGTGGGTAGCCAGCCAGGACAGGTTGTGCCAGCTCTCCGCTCCAGACCTCCAGTCCGCCTTCGCATGTCTGGTCCGGCCCGTTCCTGCTCCTCGCACCAAGCCAGTGGTGCGCGTCGCCAGCCCGGCCCGTTCCTGCTCCTCGCACCAAGCCAGTGGTGCGTGTCGCCAGTCCGGCCCGGCCTGTTCCTGCTCCTCGCACCAAGCCAGTGGTGCATGTTCCTAGTCCGGTTCGGCCCGTGCCTGCTCCTCGCACCAGACCAGTGGTGAGTGTGTCCAGTCCGGCACGGCCCGTGCCCGTTCCACCGGTGCCTGGTCCGGCACCAGTCAGCAGCTCCAGTCTGGAGCCAGAGCAGTCCGCTCCACCGGTGCCTGATCCAGCTCCGGTAAGCTGCTCCAGTCAGGAGCCAGAGCAGTCCACTCCACCGGGGTCCAGTCCAGCTCCGGTCAGCAGCTCCACTCCGGAGCCAGAGCAGTCCGCTCCACAGGTGCCTGATCCAGCTCCGGTCAGCGGCTCCACTCCGGAGCCAGAGCAGTCCGCTCCACCGGTGCCTGGTCCTGCTCCGGTCAGCGGCTCCAGTCCAGACCCAGACGTCAGCCCCTCTCCAGGTTCGGGGTCTCCCACACCAGGGTCCAGACAGGGCTTGGAGTATAGTGGGAGGAAGGAGAGGGGAAGCAGCGCGCCGAGGTCCAGACCAGACCAGGGGCGCAACAGGGAGGCGGAGAATAGGTGGTGGTCACGCCCGGAGCCGGATCCGCCTCCGAGGCGGAATGCCCACCCGGCCCCTACCCTGTTAAGTAAAGGTTGTGCGGTCGGAGTCCGCACCTTTGGGGGGGGGGGGGGGGGGTACTGTCACACCCTGACTCTGGGGACTCTTATTTGTTGAGTCAGGGTGTGTATTTTCTATGTGGTGATTGTCTATGTTGTAATTTCTAGTATTTGTATTTCTATGTTGGCCGGTGTGGTTCCCAATCAGAGGCAGCTGTCGCTCGTTGTCTCTGATTGGGGACCATACTTAGGCAGCCTATTGGCACTAGTGGGTTGTGGGATCTTGTTCCGTGTGAGGTATGTTGTTTGTGTACCTTGGACTTCACGTTTCATTTCTTGTTTTGTCGTTGTGTTTATAAGTCAATAAACATGTATGCATATCACGCTGCGGCCTTGGTCTGACCCGTTCATCAACGGACCGTGACATGCCGTTCCAAATAAAATGGAATATTTTTTTATCATATGATTTAAAAAACAGTTCGCTAGGCGTAGGCAAGACCATAAGCAAATAGGTAAACTGGAATAATATCAAAGAGTTAATCAGGGTGATTTTTCCACAAATTGACAGGTATTTACCTTTCCATGGTAGCAAGATCTTATCTATTTTTGCTAACTTTCTATTAACATTTATTGGAGTGAGATCATTTATTTAATTTGGGATATGTATTCTGAGTATATCCACATCACCATCAGACCATTTTATTGGTAAACTACATGGTCATGTAACATTTGTATTTTTTAGTGATCCAATACGTAATATAGTACATTTATCATAATTTGGTTGTAATCCAGAGAGGTTAGAAAATGTATCTAGATCCTCTATGAGGCTGTGGAGGGATTCAAGTTGTGGATTTAAAAGAAAACATGAATCATCAGCGTACAATGACACCTTTGTTTTTAAGCCCTGGATTTCTAATCCCTTGATATTATTGTTGGATCTGATTTTAATAGCTAATATCTCGATGGCAATAATAAATAGATATGCCGATAGTGGACAACCTTGTTTCACTCCTCTTGACAGTTTAAAACTTTCAGAGAAATAGCCATTATTTACTATTTTACATTTAGGGTTACTATACATGATTTTAATCCAATTTATAAGAGATTGTCCAAAATTGAAATGCTCCAGGCATTTATATATAAACCCCAGTCGTACTTTATCAAATGCCTTTTCGAAGTCTGCTATGAATAGTAGGCCTGGTTTCCCAGAATTTTCATAGTGTTCTATTGTTTCCAGTACTTGCCTTATATTATCTCCAATGTATCGCCCATGTAAAAAACCTGTCTGATTAGAATTAATTACGTCCGACAATACCTTTGTAATTCTATGCGCTATACATTTTGCTAGAATTTTTGCATCACAACGCAAGTGTAAGGGGCCTCCAATTTTTTAAATGGACTGGATCTTTATATTTTCCACTTGTATCCTGTTTCAGTAATAATGAAATCAGACCTTCTTCTTGAGTGTCTGATAATCTACCATTTACATAGGAGTGGTTAAAACATGCTAATAACGGTCCTCTGAGTATAGAAAAAAAGGTTTGGTATACCTCGACTGCTATGCCATCCAACCCTGGAGTTTTCCCGGACTTAAAGTCTTTATATGCATCTAGAAGTTCCTCCTCTGTAATTTCACCTTCACATTAGTCTTTCTGCATGGCTGTTAATTTTACATTATCAATAGAAAAAAAATCTCTACAATTTGCTTCAGTTAGAGGAGATGGAGGCGACTGAAACGAAAACATATGCTTAAAGTACTTTGTTTCCTCCTTCAAAATATAATTTGGTGAATCATGGGTGACTCCATCATTTATAACCAGTTTCAATAAATTATTTTTGGTAGCATTCATATGTTGAAGATTAAAAAATAATTTGGTGCATTTTTCCCCATATTCCATCCAGTTTGCTTTATTTTTATAATATATTACACTTGATCTTTCTTGAATAAGTTTCTCCATTTATTTTTGTTTTTCCTCTATGTTACAGTTTTTATTTCTATCTATCTGTTCTGTTAGACCTTCTATTTCCTTTGTTAGTGTGGACTCTTTTGACCTAAATTGCTTTTGTTTTCGAGATGAGTACTGAATTGTATGGCCTCTAAAGGCACATTTAAAGGTGTCCCATACAATAAGGGGATTTGATGTACCTATGTTATGTCGGAAAAAATCAGTTATAAATTCCTCTTTCCTAGTTAAAAACAAGTTATCATCCAAAAGGCTTTGATTAAATTAAATACTTTTAGATTTTATTCAAGTAGTATTTTACTGGGTGACTTTCAGTTTTACTTGAGTCATTTTCTATTAAGGTATCTTTACTTTTACTCAAGTATGACAATTGGGTACTTTCTCCACCACTGACAAAAATAGATAAAGGGTGTAACAAACGGAAATCCAGAGCTTTGATAAACAGTGTGCAAAGCATCATAGAGTTAGTTATCTACAGTTCTCTTTGTGATGTAGTACTGTACATTCAACTAGGGTTACTGATGTGGCACTGTTTGTCAGATTATTGTAGCTTTATATGTTGGGAATCCAAAGAAATGTGTAGGCTAAAATCAGGAGATTCAACATTGTGAAATCATTGCCTATAATCTATTGGGTAAAACAAATTGAATTTTAATTCCCCTTTTGCACACCTGCATTCCTCAGAAGAAGGCATGAAGAAGCTCACAGGGGAAAATGACATAGCATTTTCAATCAAA